AAAAAAATGAAAATAGAACAAGATAATTTTTATTCAAAATAAAAAAATCTCATTTACTAAAACATAAGGCCCAGCACATGAACATCCTGATCGTACTTGAATACCAAATAAATCATTCAATAAGACACAAATAAAATTGTGATGCAAGTATTTTTGAATAGATGGCACATAAATCAGAAATGAAAATATTCCTAGTCGAGCAACAGTTGATGGTCCAAGTACAAATAATGTATGATGATTTCGAAACCGTGCAAAGAATTTTTCAACTAATGCGTCTTCACGTGTTTCAATAGTGTGACAACCAACAGATTCTTTTAAATGAAAAACTAAACCAGCTCGAATAGAACCAAGAATATTGGGCGTTCCACCTTCTTCGCGTGTTTCAATATCTTTTACATATTCAGTCTGTGTTCTAGTTACAAAATTTACTGTACCACCTCCACAATCAGATGGGACTTCATTGGTAAAAATTTTTCTCTTAGCTATTAAAATACCTAAATGTAATCAGAAAAAAAATCATTTTTTTAAAGTAGATTCGATTCTTCTTCAATTGAAATTTAATATCAACCTGGTGCCGCTGGTCCACCGACAAATTTATGTGTAGAAATAAAAACAGCATCTTTAGAAGCGATTTCGGATGGATTCATATCAATTTTAACATAAGGTGCTGCTGCTGCATAATCCCAAAAAATCAAACCGTGATATTGATGAACAAGTGTTGATATATTATCAACATCAGTTCGAATACCAGTTACATTACTCGCCGCATTAAACGTACAAATAATACGTTTTTTACATTCATCACGATACTTTTTCAATTGAGCCGTTAAGAAATTGTCATCCATAAGACCTTGCTTATTATTAGGAATGCGTATAACCTATAGAGAGATGCCATGATTTTCTAGATAAAAGGCATTAAACAAAATTTACTTCTACACCGGTTTCTTTCCATGGTAAAATATTTGAATGATGTTCAAATGTACTAATAAATACAACAGTTTGTCTTCGAACTGTTTCATCTTTCAATTGTAAAACATCAACAAGTTTATTGATAGCAGCTGTTGCTCCTATACAATTGTTGATTATTTCTATTATTATCTAACTGAGAAATACTTATTCATTCACCTGATCCAGTAAAAATGGCTACATCATCATTGGTTGCATTCACACATCGTTTAATCAGCGTTCGTGATTCTTCACGATATTTCGTAGTCTGTAGTGCACATGCATTATTTTCACTATGTGTATTAGCATAACTAAAAATAACTGATATTATTTCTTCTTTTAGAATGAAAATTATTCTTATACAAAGGTAAGACATTGATCATCATGTAATCTTCGATAAATCTTAGACAACGTCCAGATGCTGTATAATCAGCATAAACAACTATAGGAAAAAAATGTATTTTTTTATGATAATGAGCTGATAGAAGTAGTCTTACTTTTTCGGGATCCCCATGGAGTATTGATTCGATGATTCTTACCAATGACATTTGAATCAATACATTGTAGAAGTTGTTGTTTGCCTAAGTAATGTATACTAAAAAGCTTCTATTCTTTTACTTACAAATTATTTTATAAAGCCAAAGATAAGTAAAATTGATGTCGACAAGAGTATGATTCTGTTTAATCAAATGCGGATAAAAATTACAAGTTCGTCTCAGTAATATGTGAATTGAATTTAAAAATTTTGAAATCCTCTTCTAACTATGCTTATAAAAAGCCCTAAACTCTCCCGTCTTATTGTAGAAGAGTAAATTCTTTTGTATTCTCTATGCTTCTCATTTTTACTGAGCAGATGGCTACTAGCTAGATGTAAGAGTTTCAAAAAAACTGATTTTTTCCAAAACTAACTCTTATCACATTGTTTGATATCGGGAAGGTTTGAAGATATGGTTTCTGCGTTTGATGCAAGCAATTGATGCACTTGATCATCAGAAGGTGCTATATTCAATGGTGCTGTAGTGTGATTGGAATAGCTTTCTGTTTCTGAATGACTTGATAGATCAAGGGAAGGATTCTGAAAGAGACAAATGACTTTGAATAGAACCTATTGAGTTTTTGCTTACTTTTGCTTGTTGATCATGATTTTCAGAACTTTTTTCTTGTTCTGTTGAATCCTCGTTCGTTAAGCTATATCGGATTTCCGTTTTTGGTGAAATAGTGCGAAGTAAAGTGAGCAAGTTTGGTTTAACATTTGCAACTCGCTCTGCATCTATCAAAATGAAAACTTATTTAAGAAAAAAAAGGAAAAAGATTTACCATACTCAGCCAAAAATGCTTCTGTAGCAAACTAATGAAAATACAAAAAAAGAAGATATATTTATTTTATGCTTCCGTTCTATTCAATTTCTTCATTTAAATGTAGAACACACGTACATTAACATCCCATTCGTAGATTTTCAAAAACTCAACGACAACTTGTCGATCATTACAGTTAGTTAATGACTAGAAATCAATAGAATAAAAATGAAGTTTCCGATTTGAAATAAAATTTTACTTGAAAATACTCAGTTGTCTGATCCTGTGAATGTGCCATTTTAGTTTTGATTTAAACTAAAAAGAAAAATAGTTTGTTTTACATACATTTTCATATATATATATATATATATGAATTGTGGAAAAGGGAATATCCTACTAATGGAAAAATCTAATCGACATCCAGTAACGCAACAAGAATTTTTCGGCTGGATGTGAGTGTGTAGGTAGGTGCTTTTCCAATACTGACGACCCACATCCACACAAACACCCAGTGAAAATTTGTTAAATTGTATTGAAATGTTTGGGCTTTATTTTGACTGATACCAACCGTATTTTCAAGGTAATTATAATTAAAAAATTTGCTTACTTGTTTCTCACTTACATTATACTTGCATGCGTCAATCAAGCATGGTATTTTCATCAGATAGACAGTTTTTTTATATAAAAGCGTGCTAGTTATTGTATGTATCTTATTATTTTTTTCCTTTTTCCCTTTTGCTTGTATTTTGTGCTATTATAATGAAGAAATATGAAATGATACTTAGGATGTGGCTATCGGTGTCTGTGTATCTGTGCCTGTGAGTAGGGTTGCAGTTATGGCACTACAGAGGGCGTGCGTGTGGGTGTGGATGCAGACATAGATGAGGGCAATCCTAACATCCACACCCTCATCTTGTCAAATAGAACGATTATACGTATTTTTACTACGTGAAATAAATATAAAGAACATATATTTATCCAAAAAGAGTCAAGATAAATTTACTCTTGATACTTAGAAAGAAATTTTTGTATTAAAAAATAAATTACAGAATAAAAACTCTTAGTCTGTGGCGAATAAATATAAATGTATAATATGGGGTATAACGGCATTAATTTGCATTTTTTTTCTTACTTACTAGCACCCAATATCCAATGTTAATAAAAAGCGAACATACTAGAAGAAAAAACATGTGCAAATATTCTTTTCGGCGTAATTTTTTGTGATTACGATATGAAAAATTCTTTTTAAGTATCTGCCGAAAACAAAATATTAGGCTTTTATTTAAAGATAAGCTGTCATTTTTATTAAACTTTCTTTTTTCTCTCATGAATAAAGTATTCATTTATCTTTATCTTGAAGAATAAGTTTAAAAGGCTTGTTTATCTTTATGTTTGTAACTGATAAAATTTCGTAATGTATATATCTTTCTTTCATGAATCAGAAAGTTTCATCTCGAGTCATTTTTTTATAGAGCATAGTAAAGATAAGCCAAGGGCTCTATTTGAAAAAGTAGGTGTGAAATTCTGATAAGATGAAACAGTTAGAAACAAAATTATCAAAATCGCCGAATTTATTTCTTTGTCGAGGAAGTAAATGATGACGTGGCCAGCAACTTTAAGATTGCAATCTATCGTCTGCCCATTCTTAAGTATTTAGAAGTAGGGTAAAGAAAACACATGTAATTTTGATAAAAATTAAATGTTTTTAATAAAAGATCTGCAGATAACAGTCTATTATCATAGGCCTACTGTTTCATACGATTAATCTGTTAAATCAAACCTAATTTAATTATATTTTAGTGATAGTGATGTAGTCAGAATGCTAAACTCTGGTTTTGGTTCCAACATAGGCTGATGATTATCTTCTGACTTTTTTTTGAGAATAAAGTAAACGCTTTATCCCATAACCGTATTATAAGTAGAAAGGCCAGAAAATGTATATTGATGCGTTTTCACAAGGAACAAGTTTACAAGAGTTTTGATTTTTGAATGCGTTCACAACCCTTGAAATATTGTAGGTTGGATGCGTTGAAACACGCCCAGTCGCATAGCTTGTAGACATTCACGGACGCTTTTTACGTGTAGCATGGATAACACGGGCGATAAAAATAGTATCACTGAGTTATGCAAATTTCAATAAAAATAGATAGTTTTTCTTATAGCACCTACTAATCAAGCCCTGATTGTAAAATTAGATCAGCTTGTATGATTCTGAACCGTTACACACAGAAAAGACGAAAAAAAGATAGTCATTATCGATTAAAAACTTAAAGAGACATTTGTGAAAAACTATTCTGCTTAAAATATGTATCATGAAGAACTACTTATAGAAATATTCTTCGGCTTCATTTTTCTGTGCATATGACTTAATAGAAAACTGATACCTTTATCCAAATGAATTAGAGACACCAATTTTTTTCAGCTGCTACTTGCTAAAGCTAATATGATTACACAATAAAGCTACCTTCAATTACAATAACTCTGCAACAAAGATGTAGCACGCCGGACTCATCGATGCATTTTCGCACAGGCACAACTTCGTTTTTAAAGTATTTATCTTCACTAACCAAACTATATAACTATGAGAATACATTCTATTCCGCATTCTTGAACATTCTTCAAAAATTCAGTGGTTAATGGGCCATTGATATCTCCTACTGCTCGGTGACAAATGCAATTCCGGTACGGAATTTCGACAAATAGGTCGAACAGGAATTGAACGGAATTCCCAGCGATTCCGCTTTCATCTAATTCCGAAATTGATAGAACTGATTCCGGGGGTGGAACTGGTTCCGGAATGTTTAACATTGCGGAATAGGATGATTGTTCCATGAGTGCGTCTCAATGGATTTCAAAACAAAAGGTTCTACATGCAAGTCTTCGTTTCGTCTAAAAATATGTTTCGAGACTATGCATTTTCTCTAAATACGTTCGTGAAACATAGTGATTGGTGCATTAAAATGCGTCTTCGTCATGCTTCCATATACGAACGCTTCGGAACGACAAAGATTTGCAACATAGACGCATCTAACTGCGCCAAAAGTGCGTTTCACAATTACATGGGCCTAGGGATGCAACAGTATAAGATATTCTATACTCAACTAACTGATAGCGTTATCAAGGACATTTTTCAATAGTTTTCAACGTGTTTGAAGAAAGAAAATCATTAATTCAGGTCGCTGTCATGGTAAAGAAAAAAATTGTGCTCGAAAATCTATATTGAGCATATGGTATAGCACTAAAAGTCAGTCAATGGAGAAAACAATATATGTATATCTTGTAAACAATGACAATTGTCACTTGTATTAGTATTAAATAAAAAAATACTATTGATACGCGGGCCACTTATGAACTAAATTTATTTAATACTAATAAAACTACTATATTGATGTGTCAAGTTCAACATGTAAGTATAAATCCAAAACGATAAAGAGTTAAGGGCATTATTTTTGATTACATAATTTTAAAGATTCGATCAAATTATTGGTATCGTTACAAAATTGAACAGGCAATAGTGACACTGCTTGTTTACCGTGCCCTAGTTTCCATTTAATATATGTATTATCTATTCCATATCCGATATCGCGAACAAAAAAGCTCTAACTTTAGTTATGTAACTTACATACATAAACTAATGCAATAGATATGGGAAAATAGTGTCATTCGACTGAAAGAGAAGTAGAAAAATCAAGCCATTTACTTATATGAGATTTATGTAACTAAAAGTTGATAAAATTCACTAAATATCCAATTGTTTTTTCGTGATCGATTAAACCTAAGTTCAAGTTGATGTGTTAAACACAGTATTCCGATTCATCAGTTTATTTCATAAGACTGTTTTACTATTTGACTAAATCCATGAATGAAATTCTTTTTCTCTTCAAAAACGTTGAAAACTATTGAAAAAAGTTCTATATAATGTTATCTTATCAGCTAGTTGAGTATAGAATATCTTATACTGCTTCAAACTGCTGCAAAACTCAATTTTTCACTTGAATATAAACAATGGAAGTGACGGCTGAGAAAATGACTCATTTCGCTGATAGTTATTTTCGAAAGTAGAAAACCAGTATTATTGGTCACCAATATTTACTGGGCCAGTAGACCAGTGCAATACTGGTACTGGTGCATCCATACATAGACCCACACCCACCCACACGATATAAAAGCTCTGCGTAGCTAATCATTGAGAGAAATCGGAAGAAGCTTGATGAATTTTAAATAATCTTATTCATGAGTATTGTTCTCACTTTTGTACCTTTTTCTCTATAAACCTATACGATATCGCTTGGCAGTAGAAACCTCTCAAATTTCAACTTCTGGAATCTATTATTCAAAATAGCAGTGAAAGAAAACATCACAAAAAAAGAACAATGACTGAGAAAAGGTGTCAGTGAAAGAAAACCTGGCGAATCTCATTTATAAATTCATATAAAATACCCTCGATCATTGATCAAACCAAAAAAATGATCATCGAATATCGAAGCTATATTTTGAGCGTAAGTAGATTATTCTCCTCATTCGACTTTTTGTCATTATCCTACAAAAGATACGCGATATTTGTATATTTCAAGAGAAAGGATAATGATCATCGAACTCACTAATGAAGACCGTGCAATTATGATAAAAAATGAGATTTTTCTTTTTCTGCTGTGATTACTCTGCTTATTACAAGATAGAACGCATATGATGGAGGCACAAGGAAAATCAAAAACAATCATAAGATTGAAGACAATAAATATGTAAACAAACTAATCTACTAAGAGAAAAACATTTATTTGAATCAGTTTTTTCTCTATTCGTGAAGTAGAAAATGAAAAAGCAAAACGTGTTTTCAATCAGAACTAGTATCACTCAAGTAATATTTGTATGAGAAACGATAAACTCGATTTTACAATGAAACTTTTACATATTATATTACAGCGAAATTAAACAAAAATAAGAAAGTGAGTTTTCAAAATCGATATGCGAGTGTATGGATTTTCTCTTTTTTACCAACACTCAAACACTCAGCGTGATGTTTGAACATTGCAAAAGAAGATGGTTGTTGGTCTGGGTTTGGTTGTGCGAGTAAAGGGAATATAATTACTGACGCCCATACTCTAGTGTCTTGTTCGCTTGTCTTTAGGAAGAGATAATCATCATATGAGAATGATGGTGGCACAGTGCGAATCTGCAATTATAGTACGATTATTTTTGTTTCAAAAGGCGCTGCAAACGCGTTTAAACGTGGTTTAGATACCTTTTCAGATGCTTCTAGAAGCAAAACATTTTCACATGAGATATCACTAACTGTTC